TAGAGTAGGTAATTGGGAATGGGGTAGAAGCTGCTTGGCTACCAGGTGCCCATCACGTGGCTAGATAATGTTCCCGTGCAGCTCATGCAGGCCACTGCTGTGGTGAGGGAAGGACCCTCTACCCTAAGGTCAGCAGCCAAGAAAGCAAAAGCAGAACTGAATGCCGATGCTGAGAGCTCCCCGTGTCCTCCTGCACCCCAGGGCTGCACTGGCTCTCTGACTTTCCTGTCCAGGAGGCCCCCATTCGAAGGATAGTATGGAAGGCACAGATGCAGGGTAGGTGCAGTGCCAGACATCTGTGCTCCCTGCGGCTGGTTCCATCAAACCCTGGCCACGCGTTCCATGTCACCCTTCAAAATGAACTCTAACAGCATGGGCTGTTAGAGCCAGAGCTGGCCTGTTGGCCATTGCATTTTTAGCGTCAGGCCTTGATTGTGTCTTAACTTGACTCACTCTTCCCTGACCTAAAAAGGAAAAACAAAGCCGGTTAAGCGTTTGCTTGCACAGCCCTGACACCGGCTGACCCTGGCTGCACGCCCTGCAGGTCACAGCACGGGCAGCAGAGGGAAACCGCACTTGATCTCAGATAGGTGGACTGGGCATGTGGATAGGGAGTAAATGTTGCCCCAACTGGCTGGCCCCGCTACCATCCTGATGCACACAGGGTGAACTAGCTTCTCAATCCTTTGCCCCATGCACAGACCAGATGCCCCGTGCCCAGGCATGGCAGGAGTGAGGCCATGCCAGTGTGAAGCTGCAGGTCGGAGTGAGGAAGGTTGTCTGAAATGCTTTGGAACCTGCCAGTGCCAGATAAGGGGGACACGGAGTTTCCCAGCTTGAGGCCACTTGGGCTGGCGCCTTTGGGGTGCCCATGGTGGAAAAGGGATGCCACTTGTGTTTCGGGACTATCTTCATTAAGTGGCCCCAGTGTGTCTATGATCCTGGCGCTTACTGAAGTGATAAATTGTTTTGTCAGTGAATAAATGATACAGATCAATCGATATCTTCATGAGACAAAGACGCTGTGATTTCTTTAGGAATGTTCGGTGAATAGCGATGCCCATGTGGTATGAACAATGAGTCAGCTCCTCTTCCACCGGAGGGCTCCCCTCATGGCAGCTTCAAGGGACAGAGAAGCTGCGTGTGTCAATACCATCGGGAACATGACAGAGAGAGTGACAGAATGCAGTAAGCACAGCGGCCTGCTCAGCCACAGACCCCTAGGAACACAGGTGTCTCCATGGCCACCTGGGAAGGAGGTTCCACCTCCACTGAGCCAGGTGCACCCTGCCATGCCCTGCTGTGCAAGGTGAAGGTGAGATGATAGCCATCCAGGTAGCAGTGAGCTGCAAGGGTTCAGCCCTTGAACCAAGAGCTGGACAGTGGCTGGTCTCTGTCACACCTGGGCAAGCTGTGGGCCTGAGTTCTGAGCCAGGAATCATGTGGGAGACCCAAAGAGGTGGTCACATGGATAATGGTGCAAAAAATTCCACCTCCTGGGACCAAAGGTCTTTTAGCAAAGATCCAAGGATATCTTAAAATAAGGGATTAAGGAGATAGTTTGTTCTGCCTCCTGGGGCTTGGAAAATTCTCCTCTTCATAGAAGGACCCCCCTAGGATCGGTTCTTCAGCGCTTTTATGTCCTTCTTATGCCGCCCAGAAGCAGCACTCAGGCCTGTTCGAGACATTTTGGTTTGCTGCTTGTGTGGGTGAGCTTTGCTACCTAACAGAGGACCCTCCGAGAGGCAACACTACGGCATGCATTCAGCTCATGATTCTGGGGGTCCACCATTTGGGCTGTGCTCGGTTGGGCAGTTCTGCTGGTCGTGGGTGGGCTCTTTCTGCTGGAGGTTTCTCTGGTCTAGGGGGACCTCATCTGGGCCACCTCCTGGTTCTTTTTTTTTTTTTTAAGAATTATTATTATTTTTTAATTGGGAAGTCAGAGAGGAGGAAATACAGAGAGGAATATCTTCTGTCTGATGATTCACTCCCTAAGTGGTCGTAACGGCTGGAACTGAGCCAATTTGAAGCGAGGAGCCAGGAGCTTCTTCTGGGTCTCCCACATGGGTACAGGGTCTCAAGGCTTTGGACTGTCCTCGACTGCTTTCCCAGGCCACAAGCAGGGAGCTGGATGGGAAGCAGGGCCACCTTTGGGATTAGAACCGTCAGCAATATGGGATCATGGTGTGTGCAAGGCGAGGACTTTAGCCACTAGGCTACCGTGTCAGGCCCTATTTCTTGGTTCTTATCTGGATTGGCCCAGGCTTCTTCATACCACAGAGGGCCCGAGAGCTGTATGAGAGAGGATAAGTCCTACCACACAAACACTTTGCACACCTGTACCTGCTTCACAGCTGATAATACTCAATAGCCAGGTCGCCAAGTCCAGAGTCAGCATTGGGAGAGTACTGTCATAGAGGGGACTGTGTCCATTGCTACAGTGTTTGCCATTAGGATGTGCCTTACCTGGACTCCAGCCTGGTCAGACAGGCCAGCTTCTTGTGGACAGAGTGTGACAAAAATCCGGACAGGTGAGGAATGCTGCCCTAAATCATATAGCAGGCTGGCATGGGGAAGGCCCCTCTCTCTGGTGCCAGTCCACATGCCCGTTTCCATAGTCCCTCTACCCCTGTAGCAATACTAAGCCATGGAGTGAGTGACATGCCTCTCCAAACCTGGCCACACAGGCATCCATCATCAGAGATCCCGCAGACCCTGGGCTCCACCCTCTACCACCACGGGCCTCCTAACCTCTGGGAGCCACCCCTGCAGCCTCCTGCCCTGCCTGGTCTTTCCAGCCCGGCCTGGCATGGAGTGGCAAGCTGGTGGTTGCAAAGCGGAGCCTTTTGGAAAGTCTGTGTCACTAGCCTACTTTTGAACCTGAGTAGTTCAGACTGTCCTCGTGGCACATTCAGGTTTCTCCTCCCATCTGCTATGCCCAGCAATCCCACAGGCCACCTGGCTGGGTTTCCCTTGCCTGGCTCGCCAGCCCAGGAGCATTCTCTCCAGCCAACGTGTATCTACAAGGTCTAGCATCCTGAGCACAAGTGCACTGCTTGTGGGCTCTTTATGTCTTGCCTGCCTCTGCCTGAGTTTCAGGCTCAGCCAGAAAATAAAGATCTGAGCCAGGGGATGTGGGAGGAGCACACCTCAGGCAGGCCACATGAGCCCTGTGTGCCCAGGAGACGGTACACCCTAGCTGGCCTGATCCCTGTTTTCCGAACACCCAGTGAGTTCCCCCAGGAACCCGGCCATCCCAGTGGTACATGATTGCAGGAAGCAGTGAAGACAGACAGGGATCTTCAGAGTGACTGTTGTCCTGCGATTCTCTCCCAGGCACAGCTGGCCAGAGGTTCAGAGACACCCAGAACCAAGCTGCAGGAGGGCCAGGAGTGATGACTGCAAAATGAGGTCTTGAACAGAAGGTCAGCATGGGCCAGCCTGTGCTGCTCAGAAGGGGCTCAGAAGGACTGTGCATGGAGACCATTTATGCACGAGTGGTGCACGGTTAGACAGCCCCTCACTCTTCTCTGTTCCGCATGTCCCTAAATGCTTAGGTACATGGAGCCCTGGAGAGTCACACTGGACTCTCTGTCAAGGGGGCAGATGGGTAAAAGCACCAAGAGCCAAAGTAATCAGGGAATGGGGGACATGCCACAGAGAGATTAACAGCACTTCCATCCGGAGAGAGAAAAATTACGCAAGCTGGCCCAGCCTTGTCAGCAGAGCCTCAAATTGGTGTTGGTAGAGGCTGGAGGGACCTAGATGGCCCCAACTGCAGCTCCCCCGGGTGGCTGAACAGAGGCAGCCATGCCCTTCTGCACCATTGGTGCGGCCACAGGAAAGGAACCCCTGCATAGTCTCCCAGGTGCAGAGTCCCAGCCCGACTGGCCGGGTCTGGTAAGGAGAAAAGCAGCATCCAGATGTGCAGGTGAGCAGGGTAGGGCTGCAGTCTGCTTCTGCCAACGTGCCAGACTGTACCAGGGATGCCCCAAGGACTTTGGCTAGCACCGAGGGGCAGGTGCAGTGCTTTCACGCCTGCCTCTCTCCTCACCAGGTAAGAAGTGTGGGTCATGAGCGGGCTTCCTCCCACTTGCAGAGGAGGCCTAGCAGGCCGTATGACCCTGAAGGAAGATGAAGAGCTGAGTGCGTATCCCAGGTGAGGCAGGATGAAGGCACAGGTGTTCTAGCCTCAGTGACAATGCAAGAGCCAAAGTTAGGGGTTGTGTGGGACAAGCAGTGAGTCAGTCCTTGAGGGCCTCAGCTCACCCAGCTGCACCACCCAGTGCTGTCTGAGTTTCCACAGCACTTTGGGTGGTGGGAAGGAGAAAGCTATTGACAGTATTGTCACGGAAGGAAGCTGCAGGACTGGAAACATCAGGGTGCCCAAGGCAGGGCCGAGCGACTGCTGAGCTGTGCCAATTCAGCAGCGAGTGGAGATGGAACTGTGTACAATCATGGCATCTGCACGGAGGAGTCAGGGAGGCTGGGCCTTCGATGCGGAGGCACGGAGGAGTCGGGCAGGCTGGGCCTTCAATGCGGAGACACGGAGGAGGAGGAGTCAGGGAGGCTGGGCCTTCGATGCGGAGGCACGGAGGAGTCAGGGAGGCTGGGCCTTCGATGCGGAGGCACGGAGGAGTCGGGGAGGCTGGGCCTTCGATGCGGAGGCACGGAGGAGTCGGGGAGGCTGGGCCTTCGATGCGGAGGACACTTTGCTACACAGCTTCAGGAGCTAGAGAAGCACACCATCTTGGTGAAAGTAAGAGAATGACACAGGCTTTGCAACTGCAAGCTGGCACGAGCCCTTTCGATCGGGGTGCATGTCGTCAGCTCTGTGCGTGAGCTCTAACACAGAGCAGTGCAAAAGGCTTTGGCTTCCTCCAGAAGCTGCCACAGGCGCTGGCCTCCAGCTGTGTGCGCACAGCTCTGCAGGCCACTGGTGGGCTGCTGGGTTCTTAAGAAGCAGGTGTCAACCTTACCTGTGCTCTCATCTCCTGCAGGCACCGGCCCGAGCTATGCCACGGACCCAGTCCTGTCCCTGCTGCTGTTAGCCGTGCATAAGGTCCTGCGGCTGCTGCTGGGGCACTGACAATGCCACCTCCGCCCACCCCTGCCCGGGGACCACCACATCGCCAGACAGACACGGACAGGCTGAGAAAAGCATGAAGACGTCCACGTGGGAAATAAAATAAATCATATTTTTGGGGAAGTTATACAAATGTAGACCACCTAAAATAATGCATCTAGTTTCCAAATACGATGGAGTTTGGACCGTGCAGTCTGCATGGGCTCAACATTTCTCTACTCTAATGTATCTTTCTTTTCTACACTTTTTCCTCCGAGTCTTAATTTTGCACGAACTATTGAACATTTATCTTTAGGATAATATGTAAAAATGTCGGGTCAACACCTTTCTGACAAAGCAAAGTATTTTTAGTAGATTATTGTCCTTAGGATTTTTTTTTTTAATTTACTTTTTTCTTTGGGGGCTTTTTTAATTAAATTATTTCTTTTGAGACATTTGATTAAAAAAACATCTTATCATAATTAAAATCCACTGTCAATAATATTTATTTTTAAATAAAGATTGGAAACAAGGCCAGACACTTGTTTATAAACCGTATTGTATATTGCTGAATAACAGTTGAATAAAAAACGACTTTGGAATAACCTCTCTACAGCCCTGTATGAATATTAAGCCATGGCGCTCAGTGCGGCCTGGAGGCCGGGACCTGCTGTTCTCTGACACCAGCTGCACCCTTGCCTGGATGTCACCCAGCATGGAGGGCAGCCCAGGGCACCCGGCTGCGGCCACGTGGAACAGAGCTGGGCACGTGTGCGCCTCCCCCACCAGGAGTGACGGGAAGGAAGGAGACCACTAGGGAGAGCAATGATGTCGCTGGTCTCTGTGAACCTCGCACTTGCCCGTTTGGAGGATAGCAGGGAACTTCAAGGGCTTCATGAAGAAATTTGAATTTTAAAAAATTTAGTTTGTATTGATGCATAGACATTTTGAAATCCTCACAGCTTTCTGCGTGGGCTTGCGAGGACATCTCACACGCTGCTGGTGCCTGTCAGCATCACCAGCGTCACTGCCACTGCACACTGGAAGTTTGGGAAGAAGGTGGGGTCCTCCACATGGACATCCTGAAATCCATGGATTTAGGCAGGATACACTTATCTTAAATGAATCTGTTTTGTGGGGCCAGTGTTGTGGTGCTGTGAGTTAAACCATCTGCTGCAATGCTGGCATCCCATTTGAGTGTTCCATTTTGAGTCACAGCCACCTCAGTTCTGATCCAGAGCCCTGCTCATGTACCTGGGAAGGCCCCATATTTGGGTCCCTGCCACAACCAAAATGAAGATCCTGGCTCCCGGGTTCAGCCCAGCCCAGTCCTGGCTGATGGGGCCGTTGGGGAGTGAAACAGTGGATGGAAACTGGATCTGTCTCTCCCTCTCTTTATGCATCTCTGCCTTTCAAAAAGTAATTTAAAAAAAAGGGGGGGGGAGAATTAATATGGCCAGGCGCCTAAACTTGATTCCATGGTCAGATCCCATTAAATATCCAGGTCTCACTGATTGGCTGAGGACCTTGCCAGGTTTCTGCATCTGCAGTTTAGACCAACAGTGTTGCCATATCACGCAGCAAATACCTCCGTTCTTCACTGGGTGGGCACTTGTTGGGACCTGGTGTCTCACAGCAGGTGAGGTCCCCGCCCAACCCACACACCGTGCATGAAGAAGGCATGCGTCACTTCTAGTTTCCAGCATTCAACTTGCGACTGCAAAGCCTTACAAAAACCCTTTCTTCCTCTTGTATAAGAAGGGGCAACCTTCACGGCAGTGTGTGCGCTATGCCAGCTGACGGCCCTGAAGGATGGCAGTGGGTGAGGAGTCAGCCTTGCCCGTGTCAGGTGGCTGAGCTTTGTGGTTGCTGCTGCCTTCGGCTGCTGAGGCCAGCCCACCCCGCCCAGCTCAGGACTGGCTTGATTGCCTTTGGTTGAGGAGAGAATCTGAGCATGTGGACAAGGCCGCCGTGCAGAGACCCCCTGGAAGGACTCACACATGTAGGCAGCTGGTGATGAAGAGCTCAGGGCTGCTGCCCTTGCTGGATACATTAAGTTGTTTCTTATTTCATTTCTATTGATCAGCACCGATCTAGCTGTAAATTTAATCATTTTGTCTTGTGGGTAGTGACTCTGTCCATGAGGATCCTCTTTTTATAGTTAACTCAATACTGCAGCAGGCTAATGTCATGTTAATACTGCCCGAAAAGAAGGCACTTCCCGGACGCCAGGTCCTAATGGACAGCACGTCCCCATGCCAGGGCTGAGCTTCCCTGGCTGGCGACACCACGTCCAGTCACTCTAGGGAGCAGGAAGCCAAGGAGCCACTTACCTGCACCGACACAAGCACCGCCCTAAGGCACAGGCTGCCCCGCCCACCCGCAGCTCGTGACCCTAAAATGGCACACACAGAAGAGAAAGCAGGTGCGCTTTGCAAAAACTGACCTGGTTTTGCACAATGAGGTGGCTGCTCAAACACAGAGGGGTGGCATCCGGAGCACCGAGCTCTGCCAGGGAGGAATGCACAGACGAAGTTGGTCAGGTCCCCTGAGGCGGAAGCCCCCCTATCGCTCAGAGATGGCAGAACTCAAACCAAGCCGGAGCCACAAAGGAAACTCAAATCCATCTGATGCTACCCGCTATGGAGTATGTGTCACCGTCTGTGCTGGTTCAGGGCCTTGATACAAAAGCAAAAAACAGGCTGCAGACACCTGCTAGTCCACAGCACAGACTGTGACCCCATGCTCCTCGCTGGGAATCCCCTGGGCAGCACCCCGAGAATAAGGGCAAAGCACGGGCAGCCTTGGGCACACAAACGAAGAGTGAAAAGCACCTGCTGGAAGTGGGACCTGCAACATGGGACTCATCATGTGGGCAAACTGCTTTTCCTTGGAATTTCAGTTGGAGCTCAGGACAGGCATGGGATGGAGGTCCAGGGGTAAGATGATTTCTTCCTGTTTGAGAAGAGTGTACTGTGGGTAGCAGCAGACCTGGTCCCAGCCTGCTCCGCTCACATGGTGTCCACAGCAATGTCAAAATGAGGGACAGGAAGCAAGAGGTCAAGTGAGCAAGAGATGGGGCCGGGGGAACAGGTGTGTCAGGAGAGGGAGCCCATAGTCCTGACCAGGTACAGGAGCCATGTACTCTGCACTGTGCTAAGTAAGGGCTACCTCCTCCACCACGGCTGACAGCACTGGTACTGGTGCCCACTGATGCGCATCAGGCAGCAGCCAGCAGGCGAGGATGGCCTTGGGGAAGGACAGACAATCCCAGCGTTTGACAGAAGGTGACATGAACACAAACAGAGACACTCTGCATTTCACTTCTCTCAACTCCACATTGCCAGCAGAAGCTGTAACCCAGAACCAAAGGGCTCTGTCTGATGCAAGCCTTCCCTCAGCAGGGGGAAGCAGCCAGGCAGGGGGCACTCAACTTGGGCCAGGGGGCTTGGCTTGAGAGGCTGAGAAACATTCTCGCTCCTTGTCATTGTGCTTCCTCCAGACTGGCCGGGCAGCACTGGGCACCCATCCTGCCATCATTTACCAGGTGCTCTTGCCATCTGTAGGCATACATGCGTTTGAGTTAGCAGCTTTCCCCTCCAGGGGGTGATGCAGGAATGACTCACCCCACTCTGGAGACCCACTCTTCACACAGGGGGTCTCTACTGTCATCAGCCCAGAGGAACCTGGACCACCCTTCCCTCTGCATAAGTGATATCCTTTAGCTCCTCCCAGGGTCCCAGGAATGCATGGATACTCCAGGGCCTTCATGAGGGCCCCACTCCATTTTGTGGCTGCAGACACAATATGAGGTAAAGTCTGGAAACTCCACCAGAGGTGACCCCTTTGTAAATGGCAAGATCTATAGAGGAATGAGATGATAACACACGTCACAGAATAAACGACTTCTCACCCAGCGCAGCCTGTCTCTGACTAGCAAACTCCCAACAAGGATGGGATCTGTTCCCTGTATGCAACTGTAGTTCAAAGGAAGAAGTGACAAGTAGATTCTCAGTAGACATATAGGTGATACTTTTTGCATATTGCAGGACAGATTTCTTAGATGAGATTCAAACAATGGTATCTATAAAAGAAAAAATATAATTCAGACTATATTGTAACTATTTATTCATCCAAAGCCATCCTAAACCAAGAGACTTACAGACATGCTCAGCAAAGGATTAGCATCAAGAGTGTGTGGGTGGAGGGAAAGCTTTGTGGTATACCAGGTTAAACCTACGCCTGCAGCGGTGGAGTCCTGGCTGCTCCACTTCCGATCCCGCCCCTGCTAATGCGCCTGGGAAAGCAGCAGAAGATGGCCTAATCTTTTGGCCCTTGCCATCCACATGGAAGCTCCAGAAGAACTCCCTTACTCCTGGGTTCAACCTGGACAAGCCCCAGCCAGAGCAGCCATGTGGAGAGTGACCCAGAGGATGGAAGATCTCTCTGTCCGTAACACTGCCTTTCACATAAGTATGTAACTAATTTTTTTTTAACGAATGCATAAAGACTTCTTGGAAACCAACCAGGAAAGCACAAGCAGCACAATGGGAGAAATGGACAAAAGACATGAACAACCATAGCATACAGCCAGTAAGTGGAAAATGGGAATTCAGGCTCAACAATGATTCGGGTGAGAACTAAACTTCACAGCCACGATGATGACAACCACTTAATTCTGGAAGTCAGGGTTAATGTCGGAGAGAATGTGACTCCAAACGATCATTTGTGCTTTGAAAGCATAAGTTGGTACAATTGCATCGGGAAGCACTTTGGTGCTGATTCTTAAAACAGCATTCATATGCTTTCTGATGCAGAGAGATTCCATTGCTAAGAGGCTTGCTCATGTGTACCGGGGAACATGTAAGCAAAATGTCATGGGAGCAGACAGGCTGTCATAAACAGACAAGGGGGTGAAAGTGAAAAACATAGATGGATGGTTGTGTGGTTAGGTAGGGAGATGGTTGGCTGGGTGGATGGGTGGCTGGGTGGCTGGGTGGATGGGTGGGTGGGTGGGTGGGCTGATGCACTGATGCAGTGAGGGATCATTGAATTCATGGGTAGACAGAGACAGGATTCCTATAACAAACACACAAGTAAGATAGACCTATCTGAAAATGAACCTAGAGAGGGAAAAATATAAATATTAGACCATGGTAACCTTGGCGTTGGGAGTCAAAAGAGGGGACCAGCAGGAGTCCACAGGTGGCTGAAGGTGATTATCACCTTATAGGGTCCTTCCTGTGTTATCAAAAATGAATAAACAAATGAATGATGTCATACACAGATCAATGATGGCAGCATATCATAAACAAGGACAGTGAGTAATCAATTCTGTGTAAATGAAGTTAAAACAAAGGGAGAAAAAAAGAGAGAGAGAGAGAGACCTAGCTGGGATTTATATTCAAATAAAACCAAAGGAATGATTTTCCTTTATATAGCCTCCCAAATTCACACCTACCTCCACCTCCCATGCAGAGGTGGCTAGGGAGCCGTCCTTGGGCCACAGGTGGCTCATCTAGAACAAGGACTTTCACCATGACTTTACAACCCCAGGGGCCCACATGGAAAACTCTGAGTCCCTGGCTTCTCCTGAAGCAATGAC